ACAACATGGTAGAATATAATGGTGCAAGCAGGATTAATTTAAATGAACAAGTATTTAAAGGTAGTAATATTAGCTAAATGCACACGATATATATATATATATATATATATATATATATATATAACATAATTAACATATACTACACAGGTTGTGTGACAGGTTATTGCACAGGTGACACTGAGATTGAGATGATGGTAAGGTAGATAAATAGATTTAAAAAATTTTAATTTACCCTTTATTTATACAGGTAGTCTCATTGAGCCACGAGAACTCGTTTTCAAGAGAGACCAGATTAGGGAGCAGATGGTGGGGGTTAAGGGCCTTGCTCAGGGGTCCAGAGTGGGGTGAATGAGGGTGGAGGGAGGTGTGGATGTTCCACCTTTTCCACCCACATGTTGACGGTACCGGGAGTTGAACCTGCGACTTTCCGATCACAGGCCCATCTTCTAACCTCTGCGCCACCACTCATACATGATACAGCCAACACAGCGCAGCAGCAATAAATAATAAACGTATTAGCTTTCACAAGCTAATAGTAGTCATATTTGTTGCTACAGTTGTGGCTTGGTGCAATCTTATTGTTAATTGTTCTGTGTTATTTATCGAGTGTTCAGCAATCTGACAGCTTGTGGACAGTAGCTGTCCTTCTGTCTTTTTGTAAGACCACCGCCAATGTCTGCATAAAGCACGCAGCATCATTAAGGACCACACCCACCCAGCACAAGGACTCTTGCGTTTATAACCCTCAGGCAGTCGATAAAGAAGACTGTCATTACGTAAGAGTCCTTGTGCTGGATGGGTGTGGTCTTTAATGATGCTTTACACAGACATCAGCTTTGGTAGATGTCCTGGATGGTGTGGAGACAGCTACCAGTGATGTCCTCTGCTGTTTGCACCACCCTCTGTTGTGTTTTCCGGCTCTGGCTGGTGCAGTTCCCATACCACCCTGTGATGCAGCCTGTCAGCAGGCTCTCAATGGTGCACCTATAAAAGTGTGTGAGGATGCTGGTGTTCGTACCAAACTTCTTTAGTCTTCTTAGGAAGTACTAAAATATCATTGAGCTCAAATAGGCTTTTTTGTGTTTGTCAAAACATTCTATCAATTCAATAAAAGTTCACTTTTTAAGACAAATTAGCACACATTCTAGCATTTGTTCACAATTTTACCGTGTGAAATTGAGTGCCTTTAAAACAAAACAAACTAACCACAAAAACAGCACATTTCTGTGAACTTTTTTAGAGTTAGGGTTGAGCTGATTGTTCATTGATTCACATATTCCAGATTATCTCACCTGTCACTATTTTTAAAACAAGCTCTTTCTTTCCCAACACCGATAAGCAGTCACAGTCAAAATCCATGAAACGTGAAGTTAAAGCAGTTCAAACCTGCCTCAGAGATACAAAACCTTCATTGAGCTGAATCTTTCTTTTTTCTTTTTACAATTTCACAATTTCTCTTAAAAAACAATTACAGCAGAGCAGGTCCTCTCTCTGCTACTTCAGTTTGGACTTAACCCTGATCTAAAAAAACGTTTAGTGGCCTGAATACGAGCCAAGCACGGGCGACTGGAGCCTCAAATGTAGTGGAAGGGCTGTGGGAGCACTAATCGTGCCGCACAGGGCCCAGTTGCAGCCGTGCAGAAGAGTGCTCCTCTAGGCAGCAGGAACGTTTGGATCTCTGTCTCACACCCAAACCAGAATCAGTGCTGATCAAGAGAGACACTTCTGAGAAGAAGTTTACAGCCCAGCTGGGAACTCCAGGTAAAACCAGCTGAAACTCCAGGCGTTTGGCTTTAACACGGAAAATCATCAGCTGCAGCCTGGAGTGCAGCAGCTGAGTCGATTTATTGGGCTTCTTCATGCTCTGGTGCGACAAACAAGGCCTTAACTCCGGCATAAGTTTGAGCAAACATAATAGAAACACTTTTAATACAGCTTCTTTGTGCTGCTGTTCTTTGAACTTCTCTGGTGTCCAATAAAATCTTAAAAATGGTCAAAATATCAGTCAGAGTCAGAGTTTCTTTATTGTCATTCGCACCTCATGTGGTACATGTGGTGGAGCGAAATTATCTACAGGGTCCCAGTTACGATTACAGGACATTACAGTTATGATAACATCCAAGATATTAACTAAAATAAACATCAACTAAATACACACTAAGCACTAATAACATAAAAACAGCACGTTGAACATCAGCACAAACCTGAACACGAGTCCATGTAAGCAGATGTGCACGCATGAACACATCAACATGAAACAGATCAGCAGCAACATGATGTGATTTTTTTCACAGTGATTGTTCTGGTTAGAGATTCATGAGTCTAACAGCTTCAGGGTAGAAGCTGTTCCTCAGTCTAGTGGTTCTAAGCTTAATGCTCCTCAACCTCCTTCCTGAGGGGATCGGGGTAAAAAGTGTGTGTGCTGGGTGAGTGGGGTCCTTCATGATGCAGGTGGCCCTCTTCCTGCATCTGGAGGTGTAGATGTCTGTGATGGTGGGGAGTATAGCAAGTAAATATAGCAAGTCTGCAGATTTGCACAGGGAGATCTTGCTTCCTGTCCATTTATTGATCCACATTAAAACTCAGATTTACCTGTTTGTTGTGACTGATGCTTTTCTGGGCTGCCTTTATTTGTTACTGTGTGTCTTTCTCTGTGTGTGTGTGAATCTTTCTGCTTTTAGATTTGTCTTCAGCGTATAAAACAGCACAGCTGAGCTGAGATCAGGTGTGTGACGGTGTCCCTGCAGAATATTCCACTCCCTTCGTCTCTGCAGGCTGTTTCCTCTGTTTGCTTTGCTGCGTTTGGATGAACCTCAGACTCTTTAGAAGTCATTCAGCTGTTTTTTTAAATTTTTTTACATAAATACATTGCCACACTGCTTCATGTTTCTCACTATCGCTGGACCCGTGGACTGGTTCTGTTTGCTTCTCGTTATGTTGGTTCAGGCTGTTCTTTGCTTCATCCTTTAAATAATCTGCCGTCTGGCCTCTCTACTTCACTTTTGGGCTCTGAGGTTTCTAAATGACGTGCTGTGATTATTTTACATCAGATGTACTTAATGACGCACTTAATGAAAAGTCCTTTTAACTAGGCTGCGTGTTGTGAAGGTTTTCTTCTTTAACATTCAGTGAATCTCGTATTGATTTCTTTCATCAGTGTCCTTGTATGTCACTGAACTCACTCCCGGCTTTTCTTTCTCTTTTTTATGAGCCCGACTAATGATTTGTTCACTCCTGATGCTCCAGCTGACTTGTTTCGTTTCAGACGCTCAGCTTGTTTCACTTTTTCTTCTTCTTCTTGTTCACATCCTCAGCTTCAAAATACAAATACTACATTAATAAAATAACTCCAGAACAGCTTATGAGCTGGTGAAGAAATGAATCGGTCCATAAAACATCTGCTGAGGTATATTAAAAAATGTATTTGAGTTCTTGAGAAAGGTTAAACTTTGACCATCCAAAATATTTTTGTAGCTGGGATCTAAATACCCTAAAATTAAAGTTGAGGACACTTTAAGCACACATAACTTTTAACACTTATGATATTCTATAAGTTTCTAATGGCTGTCAGAGCTACTGGAAGTTTAATTTTATGATTCTGAATTATAAAAGTGACTTTTAGGGAAATTAAACTAAATATTCTTACAGGGCTGAGCTGAGGATAACATTTAAATGTTTGCATGTTTTTGTGAAACTTTCACATCCAAATTGTGTTTTCAGCTGAAAGTAGGTGAAGACAGTGTCTCAGAACTTGCAGTGACATTTCTCTTTCTTTGTGGGATAGAAAAAAAGAAACAGAACAAGAGATCAACTTTAATTAACAGCATCAGATCTTAATGTGTGCAGGAAACAGTATTAAAACTGTGTATTTTAAGTCTTCGTTGCATAATTGAAAAGGTGAACAAACAAATTTCCTTGATTTTAACTGGCATTGAACATTTATAATAAATAGTTTGGCTTTATGTTTGTACAAGTTATTTTAGAGGGATTTAAAATTAACTTTAATCTTCCGCTTTTGCTCAGCTGATGCCTTTGTTCTGACTTTTGGTCACGTTTGCAGATGTGGAAAAAAAGGGGAAGTTAAACCTGTTGAACAAAACACACACAGACACTAAAGTTTTGTTAAATTTTTTTTTTTTTTAAGTCTGCAGGCTTTTTGAGCAACTCAACCTTGTCAAAGAGTCGATGTGAGTCAAAATGGGCAGCAGGAAGTTTGACCCAAAAAGAAGAAACTCCATGACAACACATATCGGTCCCTTTCCACATCAAAATGACAAATATGACTAACGATTACTGTGTGATGTTTCAAGGTAAAACAGAGGCTGTAATGGATGAAGTGATGTTAGGGACGTTTCTGAGAGGTTGATCTGTCACACAGACAGACCATAAAACAAACCATCTCACACAATCTGATTTCTCTGCCTCACAGAGATTTTATTGATCTGAAGCCCTGTGCCACTTCATCACTGAGAGATAAAACTTCATGAAAGATTATCTTTATCATAAGTCTGACAGTTTATTTTTCGGTTTAGTACGACATGTTGCTAAAACTGCTTTACAAAGATGAGATTAATGGTCATTTTAGTTATTGTTTTCAAGAAACAAGCACATAAAAAATCATTATGTGGCAAAATATTACAAACAAACCCATTTATGAATGTAATGGTTATTAAATCTACTAAATAAATAGCAGCCAGATGTTGGGAGCAGCTGTGGGGCTGTAACACAAACTGATTTTATCAGCTCATAAGACTCTAAGAGGGTTAAGAGCTTTCAGCCATTTAAAAAAAATAAAATTATATGATTTTACAGCTGCTCTCATTCTACAATGACAAGCAGACAAAGTAATATATACTTCCTACTGAAAGTTACTGAATATTTTGTATTGGATTACTTCATACTTTTGTAATGAGGGCTGGGGCATGTTTCGGTTTTAACAATATGTAAATAAATTTAATATTAGACATTTCAGTTTGTCATATAGCCGTGGAATAAAATTAGCTGAAATGAAATGTTACCAAAAAAAAAAAAAACATTATCCTGAGGTAAATCAAGTAGGTATTCTGAAGCTGAAGTAGAACAATGTCGCCCCCTGCTGGTTCTACCGTAACATAAAAAAGATTATTGTACATTTTGTTTTAGTTTTAATAATAATAATAATAATAATAATAATAATAATAATAATAAACACTGTTGGATGACACAGTTTGTTTAGTTTGTATCGGTTTCCTAAACCGAACAACATCTGTGTTAATACGCGAATATCGGCGTCATAACGCTGAGGCTGCCGAGTGTATCAGTCCGCCTGATTGTCACGTCTACTAGTTAGTCCAGAGCTTATTTAACTCTGTTTTAATGAAATAAACAGTGTCACACCAAAACAAGAGGCTAAATATCAGAGTTCTTTCACGCCTGTAAGATATTTTTGAGAAACAGCTGTATTTAAGCATCGGAAGCAATATAAAAAGGGCCCTAGTTTTGCTAACCATTAGCCTAGCCAGGAGGAAGACGAGTTGAGCCACGCTCGTCTGACCAGCAGGGGGCAGTGAAGAAACCTTACGTCGCTGACGTCATAGAAATGGCGGATATGGATTAAACACGAGGGTTTTTCAGAGTATTTTAACCACTCCAACTGTACGAGGTGTTTCTTCAGGCTCGAATTTACGAACATATAAGAGTGAAATGGGTGACCTGTCGTCGCTGGGTTTGTCAGGCTGGTTGGTTCAACAGTGTAAACATCTGGGAATCAACAAACCCACTCCTGTCCAGGTAAACTGCATCCCAGCCATCCTCGAAGGTAAACCTGCATAAAAATATTATATTTTGAATTACCTGTAAGGAAAAGTTTTATTTTTGTTTAGATAAAATCCTGGATAGTCACAGAACGTGATCTGTAAATGGTGGCTTGTGTTAAACGTGACAATGATTTTGGTTTAATGTCATTTAAACGACAGGATAGTTGCCTTTCCAAATTAATAGTTATTAAAACTTTGTTGAGAGTTTTCAATTGAACGTTTTGGTCTTTAACATTATGAGGAAATGCAAGAAAGCTCATTGACTGATTTAGATGTTTTTATTTATTTTTTTGTTTCCTTGCAGCAAATCATGCTTTTTTATAAAACTTATAGTGAATTTAAGAGTTTGGGCATTCTTGTGTCAGACTGTTTCAATTATTATTTTCTTCTTTGTCTCATTGTTTCTTGTGCACAGTTGTTTTAAATATAAAAACTAAACTACAAAATAAAACATCGGTTTGCAGTTAAATATTAAAGCCATAAGCGCATGCTTGCCTTTATTTTTAAGGACGTCAGTTTTCAGATAACCAAACGATTTTCTTTCATAGCTCTGGTGCTCATCGGTGCATTTGTATTTGCAAATAAGATCCCGGTGCAGATGATCGAGGTGTTTTGCTTCACACAGGTCAGGACTGCATGGGCTGTGCCAAGACTGGCAGTGGGAAGACGGCAGCGTTCGTGCTGCCTGTGCTGCAGAAACTCTCCGAGGAGCCGTACGGCATCTTCTGCCTGGTTCTGACTCCCACCAGGTCAGTGGACACAGATGCATGCGACAGAATGAGCCTATTATTATTATAAAAGTTACAGCAGAGACGTAGGGTTTTACTGATTTAAAAATATCAATTTAAACATTAGTTTAAATGGATAGTTTCATTTTTCAAACAGTTAATTTTATGTTAACTGTACGAGGAATTATTTTTATTTAAAAAGTGCATCGTTTCCCACCTTTTCCTAAATGTTGTCCCTGTAATGTGTCGCAGAGAGCTGGCCTATCAGATTGCAGAGCAGTTCAGAGTTCTGGGGAAGCCTTTGGGTCTGAAAGAGTGCATTATCGTCGGCGGGATGGGTAAGTTCTCAAACACACGGTTAAAGAAGCCATCTTTCCTCTCTCTGCACTTGCTCATGTGCAAACATTTTACACAGGAAATCTCACGAAAACAAATGGCGTAGTATTGTTTGAATTTTATCACACATATCCACATCTTTGCTTGTTAAACCTTCTGGTTATGGTGACCTGTGCACAGACATGGTGACCCAGGCTCTGGAGCTCTCCAGCCAGCCTCATGTTGTCGTAGCAACGCCGGGCCGACTGTCCGATCACATCCGCAGCTCCGACACCTTCAGCATGGCAAGGATCAAGTTTCTGGTGAGATCTAAGAAAGAAAACAAACAACTAACAACGTTAATCTGCTGATTAATCTGATGACCTTTTTTAGATTATGAATGCAAAATGTTATTATCTTTGTCAATCAAAGTTCCAGTTTCCTGTTTTTGGGTCAGATTTTAGATGAAGCAGACAGACTGTTGGAGCAGGGCTGTACCGACTTCACCAAAGACCTGGAGGTGATCATGGGCGTCTTACCGGCCAAACGGCAGACGCTGCTGTTCAGCGCCACGCTTACAGACACCCTGCAGGAACTGAAGAACATCGCCATGAACAAGCCGTTCTTCTGGGAGAGCACGTCAGAGTGAGTTTTAAACGTTAGTAAAGACGATAAAATCCCCTGTTTCTGCACGCAGTTTGATTATTTTGCTTAAATTTAATCTGATTACCTGTGAGGAAGAAAACGGCATAAGGAGCAATTTAGATGCTTTTTTTAATTATAGGAGCACGATGCATATTTATGATGTAATGAGAATTTAAAGACATGAGTGGACTCGGTGACCGCAGACGTTTAGTGAAACATTTTTACACAAACTTCTTAATTCTGGCAGAACGCGAACAGTGGAGGAGCTGGATCAGAGATACATCCTCACACCAGAGAAGGTGAAGGATGCTTACCTGGTCCACCTGATCCAGACGTTTACAGATGAGCATGACGACTGGTCCATCATCATCTTTACCAACACGTGCAAGTAAGGAACTCGTGACGGACTCAGACTCCACGCACACCTGCAGGATCTTGAGTTAGTCAAATTGAAGTTGTGCAACTTCTTTAGGAGTTAGGGGGTTTTTTTCTGGACAATTTAGCATTGTGCATTTATTCTAAATAATTTTCCAATTTTTTGTAAGGAACTGTAAGATTCTCACCATGATGATGCAGAAATTTAACTTTCCAACAATCTCCCTTCACTCCATGATGAAACAGGTGAGACTTACTTGAACAAGTGAAGCTTCAAAACATTTTTTTTTTACAGTCCTGATGAATGTTTTCTGTTAACCGTGACACCAGCCATCAGATAACCTGCATCTAAATCTGCTTTGCTGCTGAAATATGATTCAGATCATCTAAAAACAGTTTGAATAAAGGAAGAAATACTGCCTCATGAAAATGCTGAAATCATAACGTGTTGTCGTTAAAAAACAAATAAGATACGTTTTTTTTTTGCTTTTATCTAGAGAGAACGATTTGCAAACCTTGCCAAGTTTAAGGCCAGCGTCTTTAAAATCTTGATTGCAACGGATGTCGCTTCCAGGTAAGAAATCCTGAGGAACTCTCGTGTTTTGTGCAAGTATAGATTTTTAGAATAAGAATGTTCTTGCAGATGTAGAACATTGTGATACTTTTCTAATCTTTTTTTTTCTCCCTTCCAACATCTTGTAGAGGTTTGGACATTCCAACTGTCCAGGTGGTCATTAATCATAACACCCCAGGGCTTCCAAAGATTTACATCCACAGAGTTGGACGGACAGCAAGAGCAGGTACCGTCCACCTTCAGCTAGGCCTGTCGCGATAAACAATCAATCAATTAATCGCATGATAAATGAAAATTATCAACCTTTTTTTTTTTTTTTATCGGCTTTATGGTTTCGTCTCTCTCTTTCTACTGAAGACACTGGATGACAAAAAGCTCAATAACGGTGCTCGTCACTGACTCCTCCCTTTTTCTTTAAAATACATTTTAACCATCCAAAATCGCGTTTTTGGATCGTTAAAAGCAGCTAAACTGAGAAGCTAAGCTACGAGCTAAGTTAACAGGCCAACCTCGGGGGGGGGGGACACCTCCGTCTTGTCGAAGCTCCAAAATTCACGGTTGAAACCCGTGCCTTTGTGTAAAAAGTGATTTTTCCTCTGCAAAAAGAAGCTGAGAACTTGTTTACTGATTTTTTTAATTAAAAGCTTTGTGTGACACATGCTATGCTAAAAAGCTCAAACCACATCGAGCGTCCGCCATTTTGAGAACTGACGAGACAGCCCATGTCACGTCAATGGGCCTCCCTCCCATTTTTCTTAAAGAGACGCGCTGCTCGCTCCCTCACTATCCATCCTTCAGTTCTAACAGCATTACACTGCCATCCAGGGGTCAAAAAAGGTACTACACTCAAAATTAACCAACTTTTCTTCTTAAATTTTACAATAATTACTAATTATTGTCAAATTTCAAACAATATTATCGTTTATCTCAAAATTTTCTGAGATAATTAATCGCCCAGCAAAATTTGTAATCGTGACAGGCTTACCTTCAGCTGCTGTCTGGAATATCTTGCTCTGTTCGCGGGAAGGTTCTCAGTTTCATCTCAGAGACGCACAGTCTGCATCTTTAAACATGCTCAAAAGAATTTGTGCAACGAATTGTCTCGCAAAATGTTTCAAATACCTGTAGGCATCTCGAACTCTTCTCAAGTGGGTCTAAAACCCACGTTATGAATATTAATCAAAGAACTGCTCAGTCTATCTTAATTTCAAAAGTGGATGAAATCATGAACGGGGGCAACTGTTAAAGTTGGTAGAAACCAAGAAAGCGGGTGTGATGTGGGCAACAAGCGTGCAAGAGCTAGAATATAGTTTTGCGAGTCGTGCACACAAAATGTTCACGATTTTTAAAAGTTGATTGCACAAAACACGCCTGCACAGCTCTCTGGCAAAAGAGATTTGTGATCTCGGTGGGATTTGCCTGGTTAAATAAAGGTAAATAATAAAAATGTGGTAGCAACTCAGAACTTAGTGATACTGCGTTGGAAGAATAGTTTTTTGGTAATTTTCTCACAATTTTGAGCCACAGCCCAGTGAGACATCACCTTTCATTAATCACACGATCATACCTCGAAACTGATTCTCAAGTTATTGTTCTGGTGTTTAGAACAGATTTAGTTATCCAGTAAACACCTGTTGACTTAACACACAAGTGTTTTTTTCTGCAGGGAGGAACGGAGTGTCGATCACGCTGGTGACGCAGTACGACATCCACCTGGTTCACTCCATCGAAGAGCAGACGAGTAAGTTGAATCAGGAGCTGCAGCGTCTGACGTGTTTGAGTGGAGCTCCTTTTAATGCAGCTTCAGCTCCGACTTCTTACAGAAGTAAAAAACTGAAAAGAACAGGACATACGATGAACTCCTGTAGTTTCAGTTTAAATTGTGTTGTGTCGAGTGTTTTAGCGCAGACTCACAAACTGGCCTGATGTGTTCCTGCAGAGACCAAGCTGAAGGAATATCCTGTGCAGGAGAAAGAAGTCTTGAAGATCCTTACGCATGTCAATATGACCCGGCGGGAGTGTGAGATAGTACGAATGAATTTCTCTATTCAGTGGCGTTTTGGCGTAAAACCTTTAATTCTGTTTGATTTTTACTTTTAGACGCCAAGTCATGACTAAAAACTGTTTTCACCGTTTGTGTTGCAGAGACTTGAATCAACGGACTTCGATGAGAAAAAGGAGATTAACAAAAGGAAACAGCTGATCCTGGAGGGGAAGGTGGGTAATCCATCAGTCAGAGCGCTTTTTACAAGTAAACTGTCTCGGGTCTTACTGCGAGACTTTAAGGTAGCAGATGTTAATAGAAAGTAGAATCTGAGTCTGTTTGCTCAACTCCTCAGTTTAGGAATAACTTGTGAAATTCCTGTTGATTCGAGACCCTTTTTGCTGTTTTAGGATCCAGACCTGGAGGCAAAGAGGAAAGCTGAACTGGAGAAGATCAGGAGCCAGAAGAAGAAGTTCAAACAGAAAATCAAGGAGAGCATTCAGGGACAGAAATCAAAACAGCTCAAAAAGCAACTGATGAAGAAAAAACACATTAAAAAGACAAAAGCAGAGGCTTCATGAGACCTGCCTCATGTAAATACTGAAAAGTTGTTTTTATTACCCAATGCATGTTGCTCCTACAAATAAATTTATCCAACCTTCCATTATCTTCCACTTGTTCTGAAGTCCGGTCGCGGGGCAGCAGCTTGAGCAGGGAGCCAACATGTCCTGGGTCTTCTCCCAGTCAGACATGCCTGAAAACCCTCCTGAGGCACCCAGGGGGCATCTTTACCAGATGCTCGAACCATCTCAACTGGCTCCTCTCCATGTGGAGGAGCAGCGGTTCTACTCAGTCTCACCCAGATAACTGAACTTCTCACCCTGTCTCTAAGGGAGAGTCCAGCCACCCTGCAGAGGAAACTCATTTCAACCGCATGTATCCGCGATCTTTCTTTTCACTACCCAGTTTGTGACCGTAGGCGAGGGTAGAAACGTAGTTGTACCAACTAATCCGAACCGACCTGGCTCCAGCCTGCAGCCATCCTCTCTGAACCCGATCCGACAAATTAACAGTACAGATCCGAACCTGGAACCTCCCCCCACCCCCCCAACATTTTTAATCAAGCTTTGACTGCTTATACCACCAACTATTATTAACGGTTGGTGGACGCGTGGCAGAGGGGGCAGATCAGAGCTGAAGAGCAGTCAAAGCGCATTAAATGCTTCCCCTGCATCCTGCTCCGACATGTCTGATATTTTGTCATCTCACCTGTTTGGGCCATCGGCCGCGCGCAGCGGCTGAATGAATGTCCATTTGGGCTGATGGATCGCTGGCAGTAGTCTTATCTGAAGCTCAACTTTTTACCTTTCAACCGGCCGGTCAGCACGCGGTCAAATGGCCGCGTGCGGCTGTTGTAGTATGGCAAGCCATGTTCGCATATATTGGATCGTCGGCCGCGCGTGTCCCTGATGCAATAAAAAGCCTGACCCACACAATAAGCTCATTATGGCCTGAATCTGGGTTAGAAATGACAGCTCTAACATAAACCAACCGGTAAAGAGAGCTTTGCCTTACAACTCAGCTCCCTCTTCACCACAATGGACCAGTACAGTGGCTGCAATACTGCAGATGCTGCACCAGTCAGTCATTCTTCCCTCACTCTTGAACAAAACCGATACTTGAACTCCTTCACTTGAGGCACAACCTCACCCTGGAGAGCAATCCACCCTTTTCCAACTGAAGACCATGGCCTCAGATGTGGAGGTGCTGATTGTCACAAATAAATCTGACACAACAAAATTAATCAAATTGATCACTTTTATTGAGTTTGACAGGGGGATCCACCATCTTGTGAAAATGAAACTTAACGCTTCAAATATGTATTTACATCATATTGAGGCTCTAGTTAGTCCATCAGGTTAACGTGTTTGACTGAAACACCTCTGCACGGCTCAGATGATGGAGGAAAACAAACATAATAGGGCAGCATACTTTATTTTTATTTAAAGCTATAAACATATTAGGACTCGAGCAGAGCAGATCGTTGCGTTGAAATAATTTATAGCTTGAATCAGACTCAAAGCGCCCACAATCTGGACCGGTCTAAATAATCCTGATCTACTGTGGGGTATGTGATTGTCACGAAATGAGAAGCGGTGGTGAAACTACATTCTTACCGTGTTCAGAACAGCGTTGCTCCGCGAAGAGTTAACAAAACTACAATCGCTCGGACAGTTTGAGGGAAAACGCCAAAGTCCTAATGAAGACGGGAACGGGCCTTCGCCTCGCTCCCGTTAGCACGTTCCTACAAACGACACGTTTTCGTAAACCTACACAAAATGGCCAAGTAACACCCAACTGAACGTGACGCACACAAGCAGCAAATCATTTAGCGTAGGCAAACATCTACATCTACTCAGAGTTCAGGTTCACACAGCTCGAGAGGAAGGTGCATTATAAACCTCGAGGAACTGTACTAAAAACAAAAACGTAAAGCAGGCAAAACAGCGTCGCACAAATCAAACATCGACTGAAGGTAACATAAAATCTACCAGCCTGTTTTTACTCCAGAGAAGGAAGGTGGCTTTTAGTCATGAACCCAACTCTTAAACTGAACGATCCAATCATTACTTGCTCAAACTTATTTAAATAAATACATAAAATAAAGTCCTTTTCTGAGAGTTTCTTTAGCCTGCTGCTGCTTAAAAGGAGTTATACGCTGGTAGTACGATGCAACTACATTCACGACTGCGCTGCAGACGTTTCATCTGAAGGTTGAGAGGTTTTAGGCACCGACTCTTGGTTCTCGTTCATCTCCTCGCCACCGTCTGACCAGCGCTGACGGCGTTTTTGGAGCATTTAATCCACACGAACCAAAGATCTTTCGGGCTGTGGTGACTTTATTGACTAGTACTAGGAATACAATTTTCCTGACTTTTTGTTGGTACAAATCTTTCCCTCACGCATGGTTATCTGGATGTAAAGGCCACGGTGCTTCTAAATTCAATGCATGTCCCTCTCTTCAGCCACCTTCCTTTTCTACTTCTGTGTGGATCGATTGCCTCGACATCCTGCAAGTTTCATCCACTGACTTTTTGTTTCCCCCTTTCATTTACCTTCGTCCACCTCGAGCAGGGATTTGTTTGATGGGTGTGGACCATCCACAATCCCCTGAGGAATCGCAACGCAAAGCATTCAAGCATTTGCCAATCTAAGTGTACACAAGAGTTTCTTAAAAGAAAAAAAAAAAAAAGAGGAATAGGTCATCTGGTCATAAAGCACAGCAAACATGAACAACCCCTGCTTTCACGAGATCAGAAAAAGCCTTCGCTGAAACATCAAATGACTGAGCTGAATATTCATCGCTCATCATGTGTGATAGTCTCACTGACTTTTTTTTGTTGTTGTTGCAATTTTGTGCTCTGTGGTAAGAAAGGTATTCAGAGAAGAAAATACTGTCCCATCATGACCACATCAGTGGGATCCATGTATGCTAGGAAAAACTGCCTGAAATCCACGCGTCAGTCCACGGCTGGCGTGTGGTTGAAACCATCCCATTAAAGACCTTGATGGAGCCGGCGGTCCTCAAGGCAAATGAAAGGTATTTCAACATCAGACTCGAGCACAGAACCAGTGTTTTTATTTCCTCTCTGAGAGGGTGTGTCGACTGCTGCTTCCTTCAGAGGCTGCCGAGGTGTTCGGGCCCAGTGGAAGAATATCCTCCCGCGATGAACCTAATTTTAAAAGAGTCTGGGAAATACTAGTTGATAAACAACTAACTTCCAGCGTGGGGGGGTGGGGAATGTTTTTTTGTGCTGCCTGTTTAAAAGCTTTCTGCTACCACTTCTGTCCAGATTTGGAGAAAGAGTTCTTCAAATTCCACTGGGAAGCTTCGATCCTTTGCTCCGGAGGTCTCCCGGAAGCTGCGGGTGTGAAGGTGTTGGGTGGATTATTTTGTTGGGGGCTGAACCTCTTTTGGATTCTCGTGAGAGACTGTTGATCTCTCCTCTGTTTCCCTCAGCAGCCCGACCAGACGCCGCCACGTTCTCGACTTTCCCTCCTTCACTACGCACGGGCATCGGCTCCTGCCTCTCGCTTGTTCACGCGGCCTCTTTCATCTCCTTGCCCATCTGTTAGTGCGCTCTTCTTCTTCTACCCTTTTATTTCGCTCGCTGGTCATTGGTTTGGTTTCGCTATCCCGTCGCTTTCACTTGGTGGTGCTTCGGATGTAGCAGAGGAAAACAGGTATCCATTTTATGTTTTTATTATTTCCCAGATTAAAAAGCTGATGAACTAAGCTCAGCTTAAGCCTAGCTCCCTTCTTCAGGCAACCTGGAAGACACAAAATGTCACTCGGTACTTTAAAAGTCACTTTGATGAAACTAACGAGGCTGAAGACGAGCTGAACAAACTTACACTTTAGTACTGTGACAGTCCGGTCACCCCGCCATGTTGGTATGCACGTTCACCCTGGTAAGTTGAGTCCTGGGACAAAGCCACATCGATTTGGGACTTGAACTCATCGCCAAGATAGCTATCCTGGAGAACATGATTACAGGCACATCTTTAGACAAAGATTCCTTCAGATCCTCTTCACTTTACTGTTGCAACCCTCTTTTTATATATTAATTCATTATAACTAAACACGCATAAAATGTACATAATGCAGCCTCAACATTCTGATTTACATATAAAGTCATAATTTGCTGTTTCTGTCCACATGAAATGAAACATCTTATAAAATTAGCTGTTTAAAAAGTGCTGATTATTAACAAAAATATTACTAAAAAAAAAAAGATGGGATGAAAAAATTATAAACAAAACATCGATAAAGAAATTGAATAAAAGTGAACAAAAACAAATAAAACTGAACGTTAAAAATACCAAAACTTTAAACAATGAACATTAAATGTAACTGTGATTGGAAATATTTGATTGATCTGTTCACAGATGAGACGTTGCATCACCTGAGACAACTCTGGCTGAGAGAGGCCAGGCTGGCTCATCTGAGAGGGCTGGCTCATGGAGATGTAACCCTGAGTCAGTGGCCCCTGAGAGAAGGACTGGGAGGCTCCGTCCTGGCTCGCCTGGCTGTTCGGTCCGTTACCCTGACTAGCACACTGGTTCGCCGAACCACGGACCCTCTGTCTCCCGCCACGCCCGGGTTTCCCCTTCATCATACCCCGACCTTGTTGGTTGAAGAGAAAGAAAAAAGATCAACTGTGTGTCTAGAAACAGTTAAAAAAAAAGTTATTCTAGACTATTTTGAATGCAGTTAACCATTATAACCTTTGTATCAGGACCTACTTTATCACTTCTAAATAAAATAATGTGCTTGTTTCGTTAGAGCATTAGTGCCCCTTAAGGTCTTAAATCTCAATTTTGTATGCAGCATTGATTAATTATCAGGCAGATGCTGACAATAGAACAAGAAAAACAGGTTGTACGGATTTAAGGCGCGTCACAGTCACTGCTGTCTTCATCCAATCCACTTTGTGTCTCTACAGAAACTTCCCGCTACATCATAATCATAGAGGAAGGCCGACACTTAAACGTAACTGCAGCCTCATCTTTCTGTTTTCTACGTCTACATCTGGAATCATTTTTATCTTCTATTACAACGTGTCGTACAGATGTTTGTAGAAACAAACCTGCTAGCACACTGTTCCAACCTCCTCTTTCTCTAATGTCACTCTCACAAACCTCACTGAGGATTTTGGCGTTATTTACGACAGGTGTCGCAAAACACCAATTCAAAAGTGACTTCCATAAACTTAACATCACCGTACCTGCAGCAGGACCGTTGGTCTGACCCAGGTAGCTGGGGGGAGGCACCGGGGGCATCACCAGGTTGAAGGGTAAAGGAATATTCATGGCAGCCATGTGACCAGGGCCTGCTCCAATCATCCCGATCTGGTCGTGTGTTTGAAAGTACATGTTGGATGGACGTCCAGCTGAAAAGAGTTTTGGAAATAAGACAAGCCGTAAATTTATAAATAGCAAACACAACTGCTATGAAGAATAAAAACACTGGTTATAATTTTAGACTTAAAATACAGGAAGTTATCAAAAAATACCAGCACTGCTGCGATCATAGGCTGAGCCAGGGATGAGAGCCTCGCGAGCATCGTACATGGCAGTACTCATAAAGCGCCCCCCCTGAAAAACACAGTTCACCATTATATATATATATATATAAATATAAAATAATCAAGTACTTGCCATAAAAAGCGTATGAATCTACAGTAAACGCATGTAGTGGTACTGACGGGGTTGATGGTGTTGACCAGTTTACGGGGCTTGCTGAATTGCATGAGGCTCTCCCGCAGGTTGTTGAGGGGTCCCTCCACAAGGACCTTCTGCTCCTTGTAGTAGTTCAGCAGGTTGTTCCACAGCGGCTGCTTTGAGAGCGCTTTGGGGTTCCCCACAATGATCACACCATACCTTCACGTGCAAAAAAAAGAGCTTAGATTAGCAGTGGAGAAGACAATCGGTTAAAAATCGGATCTAATTATTGGCTCATTGTGAATTAGCGATGCGCAGATTTTTCACTTTCTATTGAGAGTTTTGTTTTACTTGGCTCTGGTCAGCGCCACGTTGAGACGACGAGGGTCATTCAGGAAGCCAATTCCCTGGTGCTCATTGGCACGGACACAAGAAAGGATGATGAAATCCTTCTCTCTGCCTTGGAAGGCGTCCACGCTGGCAATTTCCACTTGCTATGAAGAAAGGCAAAATGAGGGAATAAAAACGGGTGACTGAATAAATCCTGTTCAACGTCACAGAGCAAATGATAATTATGCATACTTGTGTCTCAGATGATGCATATACTTAAATAACTGCAAATGTTTTTTTGCACTCAAATATTTTGACTGTGAGAACAACAAACTGCTGAGCAGGATCAGATGGTCAGAGGTGGTGGTACCTGATAGAGTTTGGTGTGAAGCGAGCCACTGAACTGCATGTACTGGACCAGGTAGGAGCGCTGACCCTCATATGGGGTGATGATGCCTATCTGGTCAGGTTTAGCTCCTGCTTTCAACAACCTGGTGGTGATTTTCTCTACGTTGGCTGCCTCGGTCCTTAATTAAAAACATCAGCATTGTTTAAACTCCATACTACAGCCTTTGTGGAATAAAATATATTTTAAATCTACTTTAAAGTTATAATTTGTGTTCTTTGGATAAAAGCCTGAGATTCATGATCATCATCTTTGACATAGTTAAAACTTCATTGATTTAACTTGACAGATCTGACCAGTTAGATTGGTTTTGATGTTAAAATGACAGAATATCACTTCCAGACGTGTGACCTCATTTCTTAAAATGTGCCTTAAATTTTCATATATACAGTAGTCCCTCGTTAATCAATTAACCTCGTTAACCAATGAGAGGCCATCACCACGCGTCTAAACAAATGAGAGGCCATCACCAAGCATCTCGACAAATGAGAGGTCATCACC